AGCAGCGTGGCTCCACCAGGCCTGTTCCCAACTCACTCTGATGCAAGTGTGGAGAGACACAAGCCCTAATTCAGTCTGGCAGCTGGGAGGTTTAACTCTCCTGAGAGCAGAGCCGAGCTTGCATGAGTAATACCTAGCCACTCGGAGCACTGCTAGGAGACAAGGACTGGGCTAGTGGGGGTGCAAGGCTGCAGCGAGGGGCCGAGGTGATGCAGAAAGCAACTCAAGCAGAATCAACATAAAAATGAAAGTTAACCCATCCTCCCTTCTACCAGCCATCAGGTCCAGAGTGGCAATGCCGAAGCCCAGGAGCAGAACTGGCAGCATCTGTCCTGTGCTCTCTGGCAAGGGGAGCTGAGGGATGCTTGGGTGGGTTGAGGTTTTTGTTTTGTCTTGGGCAGTCTCTGCCAGATGAACTGTACTTAAAGAGTTATGAATAAATGATAGCGATGGAGCAGTGTCTTCCACAGCTATTCCATGGGGAGGGAGGAGCATCCTTCATGGTAGTGATGTGGCCAGACAGAGGTTATCAGAGCCACCCTCTGAAGTGAGTCTGTCTCATCACTAGCTATAAAGAGAGCCCCAGGTGACAAGATTTCTCACCTAGAGCACAGTTTCACCATCTATTTAAGCATGGTTTGATTATCAGTTCTCCGAGACCATCTGCCACTCCCTCCCCATTCATAACCACATCTGCCATCTCCTTTGGGAGAGCTCTGAGCACACACACATAAATGTATAGCAAGGCCCATCAGTCATGCATTTGCCCAGATGCAAGCAGAGAACATTGCTCCTGTAGCCACCAGGCTGACAGGAATTACACAAGAGGGATATAATTTAGAATGAAGTTTTGTTAAAATATCTAGGGGTTTTGTTCATTCACTTTGTAAGATCGAGGATTTTTAGTGCATTTTTATACTAATCATTTTCTGTTTGTGGAAGAGAATGCCGTGGCTGAGAGCAGAGTGAGTTACGTGTGATCTCCATTCAAGGAATTAACTAATCCTCTTGTCCAACTTCCTACACAGCATGCATTCACATACACAACCACAGAAGGAGGTAAAAACTTTCCTGTTCACTGTGGGACTCTGAACAACAGTGGGAATCTTCTCAGGAAGGGCATTAGCTGGGCAGCTTGCCGACCACCTACCACATGTGGACAAACCTGATCTGCCCTGGGTTGTGTCAGCACAATGGCACGATGGCTCCCATACATTACAGGAGTGCACAGTGGAAGTATGAGAGGCATCCAACACAGACTGCAAGAAGAATTCTGGCTGGAAACAATCAGGTATTGAAAAAGCAAGGAGATGCCCAGAGCAGCATCCCTGGGGAGATTCAAAGTGACCCTGTGACTTCAGCCAAACTTACCAGGAGAGGGCAGGAAGTGCTTTCTGGGCTGACTACCCCAGAAAATGGGTACTTGAGGAGGACCTGCTTTGCAGTGCTCTGTTGGAATGCTTGGCCTTGCTTCTGGGCATAGAATCTCAAAAAGTCATGTTCCTCTTTTCCTTTATTGGGGCAGAAAGTGAAGTGACCCAGTTTGGTGCACTACAGAACTGACTTGCTGTCAGATACATGAAACCACAGTCAGAGCAGAGAGTCTGTTGTCTTTCCTGCAACTTTCATCACTCTTTCAGGGCTTCTCCTTCCCTTGAATGCCCAGCTCACAGACTGAGCTCTCTGAGCTGGAGCTGGAGCTCCAGACAGAGGTCCAGGTTGTTGCTTGGGGTGCCCAGAAACATCTCTGGTGGGGACAATAGAAGGAGCTTCCTCAAATGGGGACCTAGCACCTTTCTTATGGACTCAGCATTTCTGATTCTGGGGATGAGGGAAAAAGGCTGCATCCCCAGGGAACGGAGCAGCTCAGTGCTCATGTGGGATGAGAGCTGTGCAGTGGACAGTCTGCATGGGGGGAAGGCAACACCAGTCACGTTGCCTGGTGTGAATTACTGTGGCAATAACTGCTTATCACAATTTCAAGTAACCCATGTTGCTTACAAATGACAGGATTACAGGTGATTAAAGTACAATTATTTTTTCTCAGACCAGACACAGACTGGGTATAATTTCCCTTTCTCAGCTCAAAGAACAGAGAAAATGCTGGTGCCAGGCCAGGCCTTCATTTCATTTAGTCAATCAAAGGGCTATGCTTGGGGAGAGGACATTATCAGGGACAATACCCGGGGGTCTGGGTAGCCTAGGGATTCCTTCCCATGTCCATGCTCTGACCTGATGCTCCTCGCAGCGCAGTGTGATGGGAGAGCGCTGGTGCCTTGAACAGCGTGTGCTGACACTGACCTCTAGTGGGAATAGATCCCTCCCTCGTTAGATTTTCCCTGCAGTTTTAACCATTTTAAGTGACACATATTAAGGGGGACTGGAGAGAACCAAGAAACAGAGCTTCGTTTTTAAAACCTTCAGAACTAAATCAGTACATCAAGATTTGTCTCATATCATCTTTAATTATCTTTAATCCTTCTAATATTGCCTTCAATATAGTATACTGAAGAAAGATATTTATGCATATGTATATCTCTCTGTATTTAAAGCCCCTGAAAATAATGGAAGTCCAAAACTTGCACAGCCAGGCAGAAAAGTTCTCTGTTAGTAAGACAGCATGAAAGGGAGCCCAAGCCTTGCAGAATGAGTATCAGAAGGCAAATAATGGGGCAACGTGGCCAAGTTCCTCTTTCAGACTTTCCAGTGAAATTGTCCGAAAGGTTAATAGAAGCACACCCAGTCAGAAGAGGGGTGGCAGGAGGTGGTGCCTGAGCTGGGTGTTAGTGGGTGGAGTTGAAAGGTCAGAGCAGAGAGTGGCTGGCCATGGATGCCTTGGGGGCATAGCTGGTGTTAATGGGGCATGCCTGATCTCCCGACTCAGCTGCAGCAGACCACGGCACCACAGCCCTGGCACAGCACTAGCCAGCTCAAAAAAGCTTAAGGCTCACCTTAAGGAAGCTGCAAGATCACAAACTCCTGCTAAATTCACATCAGCAGCAGAGGAAGGCCACTTCCAGGGGCTACTTGATAGCCAGAGGTGTAACAAGACAGCTTGCAATGGACTGGACTGTAGAGACCCCGATGGTGAGTCTCGGATTGCCTCTTTCCTAGAGCTGGTCCAGGGCTTTCTACTCCAGGTTCTGTGCTTTGGCTGAGCTGTTCCTGGACATGTGCTAGTCCTGAAATCAGGATCCACGCCTATTTCCCAACTGGAACAGCACATTGCAGCATAATCAAGGTGTGACTGATGCTTGATGCAAAGATAAGCTGCAACTAGTTGACAGAAAAATAAAAACTTTGTGTATCACCACACAAATTTGTGTTGATTTGACCATTTTATCTATAGGAAAGTGTACAAGAAACCATTCCACGATGGAGCTGCATCTGGTATGATACCAGAGAAAATGGCAAAGGCATTTAGGAAGGCAGCTGACCGATAACCTAGTAGTAGTTTGGTATGGAAAGCTGAAAGAATAGAAATTATGTGGGAATCAAGAAAAACAGCTACAGGTGGAGCTGGGATGCAGCCACCCATGGACACAGGTATATGGCCCAGCACTGGACAGAGCTGACAGACATGGGAGAAGCTCCTTTCCCTTAGTAAATGTAATTTTGCAGTGACACAGTGCTAGAGACACAACTGGAGACACTGAAACGCATCCTGAGCATGGGAGGAAAACTTATGACTGGAAGTCATTGATGTCAAAACAGACTTATCTGTCTCCCTGCTGCTGCTCTCACACCTCGAAACCTTTCTTCTTACAAACTCAAAGCAACAGCTGCAGTGTGAGATAGGGAAATATTTGTCACTCTGCATGTGGTTCCTGTGAGTCTATCCAGTATCCATCACCAAGCTTTTTCCAGGTAAGCTTCCTTGCAGGAGATTGTTCCCTTCCTCTCAGATGAACTGTAAGAATGGGCATCCTGCAGAGACAGGAAATCATGTCAAGCAAAAAAAAAAGTAAAAAGTGAAACTTATTTTAAAGGGTCAGCTGTGTTCAGAGCTATCTACTTTGTCTTTTGAGGAAAGCCCACTGCTTGGGACACTGGAAAGTAATTACATGACATGAAAGTAAATTACATGAGGTCTGTGCAGATCCATAGGAGTTTTGGCATTGGGAGGAGAGCACTGAAATGCAGTCTGGTCAGTCATTCACAGGCAGTGAGCTGGGCTTTCATTCGACCTTCTATGTTCAGCTTTGATCTCTATGTCTTGGCTGCTCTTGTGTGAGCCGTAGTAGCCACTCTGGGCTTTGAAAGGATTTCTATTCACCACACAGAAAGGTGGTGGGAAGCGGCTGCACCAAAAGGCTTGTGCAGCCAGCTACAGTGACCTCCCGGCTTTTCCTGTAAAGGCAGAACACACAAGAAGGTATCTTGTAGGTGGAACATTTTAATGTACGCATATGGGAAAAGCAAACGCCTTGTTTGCACCTCTGCTCCAAGTGACATCCTCCATATTGTTTCCCACAGAAGAGCCTGTGCCTTCAGGCAGCACCTGCACACGCAACAGCATCCTCACCCACACACCGCCTGGTTGGACAAGCTCCCGCTCCCTCCCCTGCCAGACCTGCCTGCTATTTAAAGATCCCAAACCAGCCGGGCAGGGGAGGGGGAGGCAGGCCCAGGACAGCCCGGCACGCACTGCCCGCTCTAGGGAAGTGCAGCGCTGCCACCTCGCTGCCCTGCGCACCGCGGGGGCCGCCGTGGCCACCGCAACTTTCCTCCCTCTCGGCGCCTGTGCGGCTCCCCAGACAAAGAGGGCGGGGAGGGGCAGCCCCTCGTCGTGCCGGGGCGGGGCGGCGGCGGGGGAATCCCGGGCAGGCGGGCCGGGAGCAGCTGAGTCAGTCAGGGGCAGGAGGAGGAGGCGGAGGCGGGGTCGTGTCGCCTTAGACACTGCGCCGGCCGCGCTCCGTGGCTTTCCGGCCATGAGCCCCCCGGCAGCGGGGCCGGGAGCGGGACCCGGGCCGGGCAGGGCGGACGGCGGGCGCTGAGCCATGGCGCGGGCGGCGGGCGGCGAGTGCCGCAAGGAAGCGGCGGGCTGGGAGGGCGAGGACGGGCAGTGCGACTCGGGCATCGAGTCGCTGCGCTCGCTGCCGGGCGGCAGGGAGACCCCTGCCGCGGCCGAGGGCCCCCCCGCCCTCTCTGCCCCCGAGGAGACCCTCGCCGAGGCCGCCGCCGCCGAGGAGCGGCTGGATTCCAGCTACGGCTCCGGCGCCCTGCCCGAGGCTCTGCCCGGGCTGCCGGGGGCTCCGGGGGACCGCCCCGAGGAGCCTTCGGCCCGGCCCGAGGGGCTCAGCCGGCAGCAGCTGGAGGCGCTGACCTACCTTTCGGAGGACGGAGACACGTGAGTGACCCCCGGGGAGCTGCGAGTGATCGCCCCCCCAGCCCCGGGCTGCTCCTAGAGATAAGCCAGGCTGTGCTTGCCCTGATCCCCAGCCCTCTCCCGTGCATCCGTGTTGTTAAGGACTCTCTGGGCCCCTGTCCTAAGAGCCTCCCGCCTTGCCTTGGTGCGCATGGATGCTTGGCATCCAGGTTTGGGGGGATGACCCCCCTCACCCGCCCGAGAGGTGTCTGAGCCACGTCCAGCCGAGTGAGCAGGAAGAGATGCACCCCGGGCTACATGAAACAGGATGGACCCGCCATAGGAAGCCAGCTTCCACTTGCTATGGGACTGCTAGCAACCAGAAGAAAGTAGGGAGCAAATCAAGCCCCCCACCGTCTCTTCCCCACAGAATGCAAGGTTTCCTCCACAATAGGGAAGGCTTGGCTGCATGAGGTAGCACGTAAGCAAGTCCTGAAACAAGATTGGCCATGCAGGGCAAGACCTTGCGATGGCTGTGTTAGACGCTGCTCAACCGAGCAACCCAAGAGCTGTTTGTTCTCAGGTGGGAATCGCCTTGCTTTGCTAACTTGCCCGCAGAGCCGCGGCTTTTGGCGGAGTTGTGACGCACACTCCGATGTGGGGCTGCCCTCCTGAGCTTCTGTGACGGAGACAAGTGTTTCTCTTAATGAGGGGGCCTTCCCACATCCCTAATGCCCTCTCAAGGGCAGAGGCATCACGCCAGAGTTATTTGGTTTGGCTTCTGGTAATTACCTTCAGCTAATCACAGCGTTTTTTTCCTGTTGTACATTCCCTCGATGGAAGGTTTTCATCATGAGTGTACACACAGAGCATGAGCGAAGCATTCTCACAGCTGAGGGCAAAGCTTTGCCCCAAAGCCAGGCTAGAGTTTAATACTGAGTAATTGGTGCAAGAGGAAGAGAAACTTAGAGGCGCTGACATGATCAAGCAAATGTCTTCAGTAGTGAGAGCAGCAAGAAAGCTCTGTCTTTGCCTGGCAGAGCACATCTGGATTGAAGCTGAAGATGAGCTGGGAGACAGACTGAGTGTTTACTTCCCTGTTAGGAAGGAGGCTGTGCATCTGCTAATTAGCTCATTAATGCTGACTGTGGGATCTGTTCTGAGGATTGGCTGAAAGTCTCATGGCAAGCAAAGTTAGACTAAACCCAGCCTCCCACACTCCCCAGACAGGCTTTCTAGTCCTGTTCCTAACTACAAGCTGATTCTGTGGCTCCTCAGAATGGAGGAGCTTTGCCAGTTTTCCCAGCTGTAACACTAGAGCCAAGGTGCCCATGAAGAGAGACAGGTGTTTTTTAATCAGAGTGGAAGTAATGCTTCCCCCCAGATTTGTCTGTCATGGTGTGCCCAGGGCTCCTTGCTTGCTGTTTTATTAGTGAGCCCCATAGAATGCAGCTGCTTGGAGATGCTTTTAGTGCTTGAGGCTGTCTTGTTTGGTGGTTGAAGCCTTTTGCCTGTCAGACTTGCTTGGAGAGACCTAACGCAAACATCTTATTAACTAGGAAAACATTAATCAGTGGTGCCTTGTTTACTGTAGGCAGGAGAGGCTCTCAGAGCTCCCCAAATGGTTGCCTTTGCTCTTCTGTTTTCTCTCACTCCCAGTGCATTTCAGAACAGGAAATCTGTAAGGAGTGAAAGAGGGAGTGATAGAGCTGCTGGTTTACAGCTCTGGGCTCACCATGTCCACACAGGAGACAGGCTTTCCTGGGATCTACTCCCACTGCTGGGAAAAAAAAAACAACAAAACTATTCTTGTGGTTAGAGTGGTGAGGCTGTGGATTTGTGCCTCCGCTATTCTTGTCTCTCCTCCTGACCCTGCGGCAGAGGTAGGTGGCATTTATATTTAGAAGTGCAGAACATCCACCACTCAGGTCGATGCAAATGGAGACTGAGCACCCAGCGACTCATTGAACTGCCACTGGTTTTGTATGTGAAAACAAGTCAGGGCTGACAGTAATGCTAAAGTCTATGGTGCAATTGCTCATCCAGTGATGGAAGGTCCCCAGAGAGAAGGGATCAGATGGCCACAGGCTACATCCCTTTCATCCAGCCAGACAAACCCATCTTCTTTTATTCTTTTCATCTCTGTCAGCAGCACATTTCCTCGTGTGCCTTTTTTAAATGTCTGCCACAAAACAGCTCCAGGCAGAGAATTAAAATCATACAATCATTGTATTTCAGAAGACTTGGGCAACTACACTTTCCTGTAATTGTAATTTTGAAAATACAAAAGTTCAGGGGTTTTGGCCAGGTAGTTCCTGTTTCCCCAGATGCCCTGGCTGGTACTGAGCTGAGAGGAGCACTGGGCTTGCACAAAGGGAGTTGGCAAAAGTCTTGGCTCTACATCTGACAAAAATCTTCACTGTCCATAGCTCCCTCAGGCTCACCCACCTCTGCCATCTCAAGGTGTGCCTGTGTTCGTCAGCCTGGCACTTGTGGGGTAAGAACAGGAGGTGGAGGCAGAGGTGAAGAGCACGTGCTTGGCAGTTGGAGTGTCAGCAGGATCCTCCTTGGATACCTCCCTGCCTGCCTCCGCAGGAGAGGAGCGTCAGAGCAGGCAGGATGAAGCAATGGGGCTAAAACTGTCTCACCCTATGCCCAAAGTTAGAAGGAGTCTCACTTTGGCAGGAAGGAAGTTGGCTGACAGGAAGGATGGGGGTATGATGGCCAGTGAAATGCGTGGGTGCTGTCTTCCAAGAATTATTTGTCCAAATGTCATCCTCTCCATGGGTCCCTAGTACCACTGGCAGCCCCTCTGCCTCAGGGAAGTCAGAGCCGTAGTAATCAGGCACATTAGTCCCCAAGGGAGTGTGGCTCGGCTGTGAGGGCAGGAGAAGTCAAGCAAGAGGAGTGGGGTGGCAAGCGGAAGATGGTGGGTGCACTTTGGGCAGTGATCTGTATCCTGCTTATCGCGTGGGCTGGTAGAGAACAAACCCTGTGCACTCAAGCTCAAATGTCTCCTCCAAGCATCCATCTTTTCCTTGTGACCCAAAACTCCAAATATCTGTCTCTGCCATGTAAACAAGCACCTTTTCTGCTGACTTGTGTCCCGATGTGACTGCTCTGCGTGGAAGTGAAAGAGAGGGGCTTTCCAGCTGTAGGCCTGGCTTTCTCTGAGTGGACTGCAGGCAGGTTTATTGTTGTGCCCCAGCATCCAGACCATATCAACCTTTGTGAAGATTCACTGAGGAAACCCTGTCCTTCCCAGCCCCACCTGGCAGATGCACTGTTCCAAAATCCTGGGAAAAGGATGGGTGTGGGACCACCTCCTTCAAGGTGGAATGGGGTGTGAAGGGATCACCTGTTTTTGTTCCAGCACAAGAGAAAACCTCCCCGTTTATTTGGGCTGATGTCAGCCTCTGCCAGTTCTGGAGAGGCAGAGTTGATTCATCAGTGTGTGAAGTTAAGCAGAATTTCCTCTCTCTAGGATTATATAGTCTATCTTAAAAACATGTTTTCCTATCTGCCCATGCTGGTCCTTGGGCCACACACCACTTTCTGCCATGGTGATGGAAAGGCTGGGGGCTGTGCCTCTGCAGGAGAGAGACTGTCGTCTGCATGGGGCTCCATATGCAAAGCAGTGCAGCACCTCTGCAGGGGTGAAGGTCAAGGGACCCCAGCTCAATCATAGAAGGAAGACCTAGGCCTTCTTCAGATGGAAAATGGGACTGTGTGGTTTTGGTTGGGTGTGTATTTCAGGGAGGGAGGGGAGTAGAGGAAGCCTGACTTCCTCCTTCCACCAGAGACAAGTGGTGCCCCATCTCCTGATAAGAAATCACGTGCCAGTGACTCGTGGGCTGAAATGCCTTAACAAGGGCTTGGGGACAGTTAATCGAGTAAAATGAGGGCCCCATGAAAGCTGATGTTCTGAACTCTTCACATGATGGTAGTAAAGGGACCTTCTTTGCCTGCAGAAGTTGTTGCAGTGTTGCTGAGCATGAAGGCTCGTCTTGAAGGGGCCAAGAGCCACTTCTAACCATTCATTGGCATGTGCCAATCATAACCCTCTCAAGACACATAGTTCTGGGCTGGAGGTCTTCCCTGAGCAGGAGAATAGAGGTTGCCCCCATTCAGGCAGTGTGCCTGCTTTCTCACTGCTTGCCCTCCTGTACAAGGGTGTTGCTGAACCCCAGTGCCCTGTGTCCCTGGGAGAGTGCTCAGAATGTGACAGCAAAGATAAAGGGAAAGAAGGAAAAAGAAGAAGAGGACTGGAGAGGCTCAGTTTTAGGAGAAGAATTAAATAAGTCTGATGCAGAGAGCACACCTTATTGCTGGTCAGGCTGGGAGTTCCCTTGCTTTGCTGGGCTGGGCTGTTGCCAGCTGCCCAGCAGTGGGATGGCTATAGTTAAGAGGAGGATGGGGATGCTCTTGGTTTTACCAGAGGGTCTTCAGAAACCTTGCTTGATTGCCAGGATTCAAGTCCATCCCAAGTTACTGCCTAGCATGCTGCCAGTTGTGGGGCATTAGAGTGAGTGAGTCCTAACATGGGTCTCTGCCAGGAGGGAGATTGTCCTGTGTCCAGCTCCCTGTCCCTGAACTTTCAGTTCTTCCTCTGTGTGTGCTCAGGAGTCTGGTAAACAGGAGAGCTTGGTGTCCCTCTAAGCAAAGCCAGGCAGCTCTGCACAAGTTGCTTTGGAATGCCCCAGAAGTTTGCTGGCTGCTGCAGGGGTCACACGCACAGCCTTGGCGTAAAGTGGGTAAGTCCTGGCAGCCTTCTGAGATTGTGCTTGCAAGATTTTTCCCTGTTTGCATGACTTCAGCCTGGCCTGGAGGAAGTTTCTTCAAACTTTCCGCCTGCTTAGGTTTGCCTCGGAGCTGGGAACAAACACGGGGAACTTCAGCACAGACGAAGGGAAAGAACGGCTGGAAATTTCCGTGTCCTGGGATGCAGAAGCCTGGCTGTAACAGATCAGCCAAGGTGGGGTGGGCTTCAGGTCCTTGCACTCTGCAGGCAGGCCCGACTGCTGCTGGGAAAGGGTTGAGCT